GACTCTGCCCTCTTGTAGTTTAAAACCATTGCCCCCTGTCCTGTTGCTAGAAGTCCTATTAAAAAAGTGTGTCCTCATGTGTCCTGGGGTGACTGTGATGCTAAATTGTATCCCCATTTGTCTGCCTAGCCAAGAAACAGGTTTTGTAATTTGGTATTGTTCATTTTTGTGCTGGGTAGTGTTTTACCTGTTAAATAAACAGTTTTTTTCCACTTCTCTTGGATAAATCTCTTCCCAAACAGGTTGCGGGGGAAGGGGCCATGTGGGTTTGCTTCCTGGAGAGAGGCCCATTGGAGGTTTTCTCCCAGATTTGGCCTAAACCAGAACACCATGTTTCTTGTAAGTTCCCTTTAGGTATTGAAAGGCTGCAACGAAGTCTTCTGAGAGCCTTCCCTTCTCCAGGCTGAACTGCTCCAACTTTCTCATCCTTTCCTCATAGGACAGGTGCTCCACCCCTCTTGTAGTTTCTGTGAGCTTCCTCCTCTGGACCTGCTCCAACAGGTCCATCTTTTACATCATAATTCTTCCGCTTAAACCCAAATATCATTGTGCCATTTCTTCATACTCAGTGGTGCACCCAAATTTCTACTTTCTACTTTTTTTTTCCCCCTCAAACTTTCTCTAAGGGTATTATCCCTTTCCTGCCCTTTTTATGTGGTTCAACCTGTCCCTAGTCTCTTCTGCTGCTCATCGCTTCCCTGTGTTCTTATCTGACCTTATGCTTCCAGGCTTTGTGAAACAGGATCAAACAATCTGACAAACCTGCAAGTGTTGAAGGAAGCTTAGCATGTGAATTTAAGGGTTGGTGTTTGTGTAGATAATTGTGGCCTGAATCGAATCCTAAACTGAAATCACCCTGGGTTTCTGATTCCGGACAGTTCAAGTCCTGCAATGGCAGCCGAGTGACTCAGGCCTGTCTGCACTGTATGACAGGTGCAAGGACAGATTAAATAGCAAGAGACCATGCAGGCACACAAGCATGCTACACTCCCTATTAATGGAAGTGGGTGCTTTGTGGATGAGACAAGCTGGGTGCACAGTGGTTGCAAATTCCAACAAGGAAGTCCTTTGGTACAGTGCCATTTGTCTCTGCCAAAAAAAACATGTAGGCCTAGTTGCAGACAGATTTAATAAAATGAAAATTGTAGCAGTGTTCACTGAAACTGAAAAGAGCCACCTGTGCTCCATGCTGCTACTTGGTCCAAGGTGCAGAGGCTTTGGTGTCAGTGCCAGTGGCTCTGGCTGCTTCCTGTGCCATTGCCAGCAGGCAGCTCTTAACACTGAACTGCCCCATGGTTCATAGTGCAGGGCAAGTCGTGTTTGTCAACAACTGAGGCACAATGGATTTGGGAAAGAAAAGAACTGATGTTGAACTCTCCAGTGAGTAATCAAGTTGGGTTGTTTAAATCATGAAAAGTAAGGCTTTCTGAAGCTCTAGGATCCTTGGCTTTATTTTTAATCCAGGAATAAGAGAATTGTTTGGAGCTCATGCAGATGGAGCTAGTCTCTATTTTATTGCCAAGACTTAGGCTTAGATGGATATCATCTAAAAGATGTGGGCATATAGGAGAGAGAAATTTTGCCTGGAAATGACTGCGGGCTCATGATACTGAAGGTGTTACATAAACTATGATGAAAAAAAAAGTTACACGGCTGCTATATCCATATTAAAATTGTCTAAAAGAAATGTCTGTGTGTTTCTGCTTTCAGCTTTATGATTGTCTGCACCCCAGATGTTTTTCATAGAGCAACTGTTTAAATTTTTCTCCTCCCTCTATCCAGATGGGGCCAAAAAGTAATGGGGGAGGTCTTTGTCTTTTTTCTTCTATACCCTGTATCACCTTTCCTCCATTTTTCACTTTTTCAGACAGCTTGTAGAATATTGTGCCACGTGTTCTTAATAACAGAGTGGGCTCTTCCATAACCATTTGTTTAAACCTTCTGGTGCAGTCTCTTGATACCAGGTTTGTTGAAAAAATCCTACAGTTTCACTCCCTGGCTGGTGCAGAGCTATATTTAGTGTACCTGGTTCTGGGGAAAAGTTAAACTGCCTCTGGATTTCCATTTGGCTGCTGAGTCTGTCACTAGCCAGGCATGAGTGGTCAAAGGGTACAAAGGCAGCCCAGAGCCCACACACTGAGGGAAGGAAACTGAAACAAGGGGAAGAATTTCATGGCTCACTGTTGCCACTGACCAGAGCAGCAGTATAAGACAGCTGTTGCAGAAGAATCTGGATCGTTCTTTTTCATCCCCATCCTTGAAATTGGGGAGGGTTTTTTAGCACAAAGCAAAGAGATTTGTTACAACCAGCTTTCTCTTCCTGGCCCTTCGAAGAGCTCGCTCCAGCATTTACTCCAGGAGCAGGAAATGTTGCTGAAATCATAAGTGTATATTATAATAGCATAATATTGTATCAATAAGACTTTTGCTGCCTCCTTCACATTCTGCATTCTGGAAAGACTTTTAAACTAAGCATAAATGATTACTTATTAAAGAGAATCATATTCTCTGTATGTAAACATAATTTGATAAAAACATTTAGAATTCTTAGAGGAAAAAATATTTTTAAAAAACACTGCAGCTGTAGAGTACATCTGCTTTTCCTCATACTGTGATCCATAATAACTCACTGGGTAACACTGAATGAAACTCAGTGCTAGACATATAAAGATAATTATGAATTTTCAAAACTGTCAACAGCTTTTGAATTACTATTTGGCCTTATTGACAGGAGCTAGACACTGGCTGGGCACTGTGCTGGTTGATATGATGATAGCTCTCAGATTTCAGGTATTTTAGAGAATAACTAAAGTGTGCCAATCATCCTGTGCAGACAAACCCTTACATGTAAAAGTCACCAAATCATTATACAAAAATGCTATGAAACACAAACTCAGGCCTGGAGATGGGTTGGGGTGAGAAGGTTATCAAACCTGCCTCAGCACTGCCCTTGTCTGCAGGTGGAAGAGAATGGTGTTATGAGAGAAGAGTGGTGGTTATGAAGCCTTGGAGAACCCAGATGTTTTTACAGGGGAGCTAATGGCCCCTAGCTATCAGTGTTTGGGAAAATTTGTACATGATTTTAGTGATTGATTTCTGCTGTACATGTCAGCACTGCTAACATTGTCATATTTTTTCCAGGGGAGGGTTATGACAATCTCCTGGAGCAAACTTCAAACTGAGCCACAGGTACCTGTGACTGGGTCCCTTTAGCAGCATTTCTCCTGCTGAGCTTGATATATGAGTTGTAACTATTGTGACACTCACAGTGGAGAGCGTGAGACTCTTAAACCCCAAAGGAGCTGCTTGAGACTGAGAGATGGAGGAGAACAGAGGGCTAGACTTGAGCAGTTTTTCACACAAGTTGCGTTGGACAGTGGAGTTAAAAGTTTTGAGGGAGATGAACTTATCTTGGCCTGTTGTTTCATGACTGAGAATTTCTGAGCTCCCAAGGATATTTCCACCAAAACCAGGGCTCATGTTCTCTCTGTTGGAAAGAAAAAGTAAAGGGATGAAAACACCATCCTAATTCTTATTTGTATGTGTTTGCTGTGAATTCTGTGGGGCTATGGTTGTTCAAGCTAAAAAATGAAATTCTTTGAAGGTTTGATCACTTATTTCAGCCAGGCAATTCTTTTCTGGCTTAAAGCAAGTGATTTTGTTTTCAGTTTCTACAGGAGTAAAGCCTATCACTATTAAATAAAAAACAAAAAACAAAGCATGTATTAAAAAATTATTTGACAGTAACATCCTCAAATGCTAAAGCTGGCAGTAATTTTACTGTAGTGTGGTTATGTTTTTGTAAGGGTTGCCTTGGAAGAAATTTTATGTTCCTAGATGGGACAGAAGACAATGACAAAAATGCAAATTAACATTGCAAACAGGGAAAAGCTGCAAGGCTTTATCTTATCTTTGTCTTTTGAATCCATAGCATCTGAAGCTATGAAAAGAGTATACAAATTGTTAACCTTACAAAGGTATACCCAACATCCCTGAATTTTCTGAGGAGACATTGAAAGAAATAGTCCTGCTGTTCTGCACCACCAGGTTAAAAATGCATTCCCTTCACACTAGGCACAGTTTGCCCTGCTGATCTCCAATGCTGAGCATGCTAAATGGGGTATTTCATTGTTTAGTTGAGGGTTTCATCACTGTGAGCTGGATCCAGGCTTGATCTGATAGAACTGAGTGCTAACCCATCATCAACAGTGTTTTTTGTGTATTAAATAACTATAGTATAGTTCAGTATAGCATAGCAATGGCTTCTATGGGTATGTGTTTGGATTATACCAGATTCTTCAGGTGAAAACCATTACATTCATATTCAGTGAAGATGAAAAGGAAAGATACAAATGTATAAGTCATAAATGTGTGGGTCTGGGAGTTGATGGCAAATAAGGAATATTTAATAGCATATCCTGTAGAACTGACACCTTGGCGATGCACTGTACCAGAGTTTCACCATGTCCTTCCAACAGAGGAAGACAGCTTGCTTTCAGGATTGTTTTTACAAGTAACTGTAATAAAAAATGCTAATAATTCTCCCTTTTTTCATCATCCTGCTGAATTGAACTGCATATTACATGGTATCTTGTATATAAACAGAAATTTAGGAAATGGAAATTAATAATCAAGAGTTTTGTTCACCCTACAAACTCTAAGGAAGTCTGTGTGGACTGCTGGTTTACCAGAGACATCTTTTCCATCACAGACAAATCTGATTACTGCTTTTCTGACCCATCTGTAAACCAGAGATGATATTTCTTCCATTTTAGATACCTCCAAAGCTAAAACAAAAAATATTTGTAATTTGCTTTGTGATTCTGGATCACATAATTTTCTGGCACTTGTCTGTTACATATGAGGAGTTATGTGAATCTCGATTTCCCAGACAGGATTCATCAAAGACTCAGGGCTAGGAAAAGGCAGCTTTCTGAAAAGTGTACTATATATTTAACAGTTGTATCCCTTCTAAAGATTTCCTTGTGTTTTAACTTCAGGTTATTAACATCCTGCAGCAAGTCATCACTTCAGCCTAAAGATTTGTGGAAGAAATAAACTCTACATGAAAACTGAATGTAATTAAGTCTTACATTCAGGACCCTGATGAGTGATACACAGCGAGAAGTAGAAGATGGCAAATTTCACAGAGAATGTGACTGAGAAGTGCAATATTAATCATGATATCCACGAGACATTATCCCCTGTGGTGTACATATTTGTGTTTATATTAGGCTTGCCAGCTAACTGCCTGTCACTGTACTATGGATATTTACAGATCAAAGCTAAAAATGAATTAGGTATCTACCTTTGCAATTTGACTATAGCAGACCTGCTGTACATATTTTCTTTGCCTTTTTGGCTTCAGTATGCTTTACAGCATGACAACTGGACCTATGATGAGCTGCTGTGCAAAGTTTGTGGCATCATCCTATATGAGAATATCTACATCAGCGTGGGCTTCCTGTGCTGCATCTCCATTGATCGCTACCTGGCTGTAGTGCACCCCTTTCGGTTTCAGCGCTTTCGGACCATGAAGGCTGCTGCCATTGTGAGCATCATTATCTGGGCCAAAGAAATTATGACATGCTGCTTTGTCTTCACACACGGGGAGATCAGTATGGATGCTGAGAGCCACTTGGTGTGCTTTGAGCATTACCCCATCAAGAAATGGGAGCACAATGTCAATTACTACCGCTTCTCTGCTGGCTTCCTTTTCCCCTTCTTTCTGCTGGCCTTTTCCTACTGTGGGATTTTACGAGTTGTCCACAAGAGTCCCGGCACCCAAAAGAAGAAGAAAATCCAAATTAAAAGACTGGTTTCAAGCACTGTTTGCATATTTTTAGTCTGCTTTGGACCATACCACATCCTGCTCGTGGTTCGTAGCTTGTTGGAGAACAACTGCTCATTTGCTGAGAGAATATTTAATGTTTACCATATTTCTCTCCTGTTAACTACTTTTAACTGTGTTGCTGACCCAATATTGTACTGTTTTTCCAGTGAAAGCACTTACCAGAACTTTGTCAAGATGAGAGACTCTTGTCTAACGTGTTTAGGCCATCAGAGTACTGAGACGAAGGAATCCTATCCACTGAACACTACTGAACCTCCCAACAGAACACAGCATGAGCAACAGCCAGGGTTATTACAAATACCTCTTGATGGTGCTGGAATGAAGGACTGCTTCACAACTAGTGTAGACAGCCTATAGCATTAATCAAAACGACCTTAATCCTACATCTGCAGCTATGGTCGTATTTATGTATCTGTCTGAATTATTCATGTATTACAACAGTGTGACCTCCCAAAAGCTTATGAGCAATGCTGCAGAGTGAAGCTGTTTCTGGGGGTGCTTGGACCCTGGCAATAGTGAGGAAAGTATGTGCTAGATCAGTTCAATTATAATCACACATCTGTTGCTGTGCTACCACTTAAAACCTATTTGTCTTGATGACTGCATTGACTGGAATAAGCCAGTACTCGTGGTGTGTAGTTCTGGTGAGCTCATCTTCAGCTGCCTTCTGTTTGCCCCTGTAGCACCTGGAGCAAGGAATTCTCTACAAACTGTTATCATCTGTTGAGAAGGTATGAGACAGAAAAAATCTAATGTCCCCATATATACTTTTAAAAAGAAAAAGCCCAGCAAAACACTTCTGCAACATCTCTGTAACTCTCTGAAATAACAACGTCTTCTGCCAGTTTCAAAGCCTGCAGAGACCATGCCAGAAACAGATTCCTAAAACAATCAGTCCATAGTGCATGTCATTATGGCAGAACATGCACAAAGGGCTCAGCACCTTTATTTGTTATTTGACTGTTGAATCTCAGACTGTTAAACCTCATTGTAAGGCTCCAAGAGAATTCTGGAAGTATGAGACTCTGGGCTCCAAGGGGTGTCAGTAACTTGGTTTGTTGACTTGGAAGAGAACAAGAGGTTGGTATTACCTGAGGAACTTTGATCCCATGTGCTTCTCTGAGTCATTGTGTTCAAGAATATTTATTATGTCTAAATTCTACTCCACCTTCCTAAGGTTTTGATTGTGTCCTTTGCAGTTTGTGTATCATGTGTAGCACAGGCCATACAGGCAATTAAATAACAATGCATTTGTCAGGGAAACTGTTGAATGAATCCTGTTTAAGCTCTGTTTTTGCCCACAGATAATAGAGTTTAGGGTTTGGTCATTGTTCAGTAAATACGGTATCAGATATGATGTATGAATGATCTGTGTCCTGGTTTAGACAGAAACAAAATATAGGAGTAAGTGGAGAATAATGGCTTTTAAAGACGTGGGAGTTGTGCTCCACAGTATTGTTCCTACCACCACCTCCTCTCTAGGTTTTTTTTGGTTTTTGTTGTGCTAGTTAATCCTGCATGATTCTTCTTTGTGATCTGCTCATCACACCTTCTTGTACCTGTAGCTGCTACACCATGAATATCGCCTTGTCCTTTCAATTCTCTCATTTCAGACCTTCCTCGAAACACCTCTGTCTCTGCAATCTGGAGCTGATAACTTCCAGCAGTATAATCAGTTTTGTTTCTTTGGTTTGCTTTTGAGTCAAAAGATCGTCTAAACACATGGTCTGCTCCTGAATATGTCATAGTAACATATTGCTTGCCATAAGATTCCAAAAGGAATATATTCTAACAGTTTTCTGGAAACCACCTGGAGAATGCAATATTAGATATAATTAGGTGTGTTTAATAAAGAATGTTTTTATAATTTTTTAAAAATATTTTTTCACACTATGCTTGAAATAGCTATCTTTTAGCTTTGGTCCACAGTTTCTGTTTGTGAGACTACAGATCCTCTCCTCCTTCCTCTTGCAAAAAGGATTCATGTCCCCAGTCCCAAGAAGGGATTAGGTTTGCTTATGTTAACATTTGGTTTGTTTAATTATTTTACATTCTTTATACTTTGACCACTCAGCTGGATTAATTACTTTACAGCTGCATTTTTTTCTCCTGACTATTAGCACAGTTTAGCTTTATTTTCTCCTAATCTTTCATCTCATCTGCTGTGTATTCCAAGGGGCTCATAAGGCAGGGACTCCCTCCTGACTGCTGTAGTGCTGAGCTTGTACATTGTTAAGCATCAACTCCTCGGACCCCCACAACCTGTCAGGCTGCAAGTCCCACATGGTTTGTTCTAGGATAAATATTTGTTGTCGTGTTTTTGCGTTGCTTCTTTACAGTTCCCCGTGCTGTTTAAACTAGACAACTGGAATGCAGAGCATGCTGTACTACATAGAATTGTCATCTGAGGGATTAAGGCTCATTTGAGTTGGGTCTTTGATGTGGTCAGCTTTGGTCAGCTGCTGCAGTTTAAAATCAGATGGAAACTTGTGTAACACAGCTCAGCGTTCTGCTACAGTTCTCAGCAGTTAACCTGCTAACCCGCAACAGAAAGGAGGGATTTTTTTCTTCTTTTCCCTTTTTTTTCCTTGAGGCCAACATTTTACCAATTCTTTTTGTACTGTAACTGTTTGGCTTAGGCTGCAGAACTGTAACCAATATAGCAGGAAGGTAACTCCCACTCAGAGCTTTTTCTTCCATCTCAGTCAAAACACATTCACTCAAGAGTCCTGCAAAGGTTGCTAGGGGCCTGCTACATGCGCTATTGAAGTAAATGCCGTGCTTAGGAATGCACACTAGAAGATATTTTAAGAGCATGCACTAGAGAAAAAGAGAAATAAATTATTAAATCTTGTATTTCTTTATGAAATCTGTCTGTTAAGACTTTGTTTTGGAAGAAAAAAGAGCAAAAGCTTACTAAATGAAAATTTTTGGGCAAAAATTAGTGCTAGGAAATATACATTGCACCTGTTAGTGTAATAAGTCAGTAGCACAGACAGAATAAAATCAGCTGCTTCTTTTAAATTGATGCCAATTTTGTTCTGTGAGTTCTGTGCAGCAGTGAACATATGCCGTGCTGCGGGGTTACTGGCTTTGGCAAAAAGTTCAAGCATTCATATGAAATATTTTACTTAATACTTATCGTTTGAAGAGTTTGAAGACTTCTAAAAGAGATATTTTCCAATTGTAAAACTTCCAAAATACTTTTCTAGATCATCCTTTCAGAAGGTTTTAGATAAAACAAATTTTTAAAAAAATTACTGACCTAGAAAATAAACACTGGGGTTTTTTGTGAACCTGAATGTATAGCAGAAGTCTGGCATTAAGATTTCTTTCTGTCATGTGTTCAGCTGTTGTGTGTCTTTAAAGCCTCTGTATCCTCAGGGACTTCAGGAGGTTAGTGTTCAAAATATGCTGGTGTCTGTGGTATGAAATTATTTTTCTCCTTCTGAAAAAGTTGTTTGTCTTGCATTGAAGAAGGGAAATAAAACTCACCTGCCAGGAAGGAGAAGAAATATAAAGTGTTGCTCACTGCTGGAAGTCCAGCTGAAGGCAACTTCCATTCCATGACAGGTAAAGCACCAGTGCTCTAGAGGTGGTGTCAAATGTACCCGCCCCTCTCTGCTGCAAGGGCTGACAGCCGGCACAGCTTCAGTCCTGACACTCACCTGGAGTTAAGGTAAAATCACAGCTTTAAATGACAAAAGCTGGTTCACAGCCATTTACTGTGTACTGCTTCAGTGTTAGCAATCCTATGGGATAGAATTTAATGTTACTTCACTTGGTCTTGTTAGGAGCTGAATTTCTACAACAGGAATTCATGTAAAAATTTATTGACATAATTTTATTTCATACTGAATGCAAATTTTTATTAATATCTAATCATACTTCAATTTCTAATATTTTTAATCATTAGTTTTGTATTTAATTGATTTCTTTGTAACAACAGGATTATTCTGAAATGTCTATGACTTTTCTCTATTATCCATAAAGTGGCAAAATATATAAGTGGCTAATTACTAATATGACAGGGGTTAATGGCACAGCTGACCCTTTACACAGAACATCTGCAATGCTGCCTTTCTTTTAATTAGCTCAGTTAAAATTTTCTCCTTATCTCCTCACACTTCCACAAACTATCCCTCACCATAAGAACACAGTGTTAGAGGGGCAACAGGAGGTGTGCAGTGGAGCTCTCACAACTGTGACACTGCAGTTTTGTTTTGAATCTTACCTCTCTACTGTAGCTGTTCTCCTCACCACAAGTATTTTTAAATTCAAGTTGCTACGGGAGTTACTTCCTGTTGCAGTTATGAGGTTAGTAAAACAAGAACGGCAGTGCAATAATATCTCACTGTAATTTCATGCTTTCTTTGTAAAATCCAGATCACCTCTTATTATATAATATCATTTAATATTCATTTTCCATTATAAAATTACAGAAAAGAAAGGTAGACCAAGTGAATTATATCCTCTTGTTTCACAGAGATATTGCAAGGGTAACAATGAAAGGCTGTGCGTGGTCAAGACATTAGAGATGAAAAGTCATATTTTTCTGATCTTTTGCACCTTGTGAGAGCCTCAAGAATAAGGAAATGACATGGGAGCAACTCTTGATGCAGAAATCTTTTGGGGCAGTCACTGCTGTGCTTCCTGCAGCAGCTTTTCAATCATAAGTGAATGGGTGTTGTAGAAGGGCAGCCCATCCACTTCCATCTCTAGACTGGCAGTTTTGCCACTGCGGACCCCGAGCTGCACAAGTGTTTTCAGAAGCTTTTCTTCCTTGAAAAACAAAGAAACAGAGTATAATTAAAATTCTGAATCAAACAAGAGCAGTCATCAAGATTTTATTTAGTTCTGGGAGAGATTGACCATATCCTCCATATTTATTTTGCCATCAACTTGCAAGTACTATCTTGTCCCAAAGATATGTTTAGCATCTGGAGCTCAGGGAGTGTCAGATGGTTTATAATCTTGACTGCTATTTAATCACTGAATATTATTTTTCTCCACACTGCTTCAAACAGACTATTAGTGTCGATTCAGAAACATCATTTTTTGTCCAGTTTCAAGTTCCTACATTGCTCAAATGAGAATCAGAGGAACCTCCACCTAAAGTATCTCAAAAATCCATCTGTGGTTTCCCTAGCAAGGCAGCTGGCTGCAGCTGCATTTTTATAGAAAAAGAACATAAGGGAAAGAGGATGCACCAGGAAAAAAAGGTTACAGAGAGCACCTGGATGGGCTGCACACTCACTTTCCTTTCCTGCAGCTTCTCTGATCTCTCTGTGCCTTTAGCCCTCTCTTCCCTTTTCATTATTGATTTTATGAGAGTTCTGGTTGCTTAGGGATGGAGTGGGGAGAAAACAACCTCGGAAATTGTGCT